ATTTTTTTTTTTTTTTACCGACTTGGTACCGAAGTACCGAGTTTTTTGACAACACTACGTCAAACGGATCGTGCCAAAATCAGGCTAAAATCGTGTAATCTGAACCAGTCATAAGGGGTGGTAGAAAAAGGCGACATCTAGCAAAAGCTACAGTAGACACTATATAAACACGTGTCTTTTATATATAATGTTGGCTAGCAGTCGAGTGACGCCAGTCAGCTTTGTAGCAACAAGATAAAACGCATAATCGGAACTGTTAATTGAAAACGCAGCTACAAGTAATGAGACATACTAAGAATGTGTGATCCACAAACAACTTATTGTCCCGATAAAGTGGGAACTGCTCTGTTTCAGAAGCTTTTGTGCATTGTACTGTTAGTTTCTGGGAGCCGTTAAGTCAAGCACTCTTAGTTCGTCGACCGCAGGAAGGGCAAACAAATACGTTTTGGAAATGGGGTGGAAAAAACAGCATCTCTTTGACCACGACAACACTGTCTTCTGGCTCAAACAGGCCTCGCACAGTTTTTGCGTATTCTGTGGACTGAGATTATATAAATGGCTCAGATCTAGAAAACGTAAGTTTCTACTTCTTGGAAAGCGGATTCTCTTAAATAAAATGTATTCCCTTTTGGACTTCCGGCATAAAAAATACTGCAAGTTTACAAAGCTCAAACAGCAACATTACACACTGACTAAATTAAAAAAGAAAGCATAAGACCCCCTTACTTAAATGGATCATGCAAAAAGAGTCAGTACGACATGCTTATTAAAATAAACACTTTTATAATTATTAGAATTTATATTGAAAATAACTAAAAGATACATATTCGAGATATATATTGTTTGCATATTTGTATTGTGATATTTTAGATATACCGCCCACCCCTACTCTTCGTAATAGTTTACAATTGCTATTGTTACATTTTTATCTGCTCTTGTGCTCATAATAATGAGGAAAATATAAAGGGTTAGATCACCCAAAAATGAAAATTCTGTCATCATTTACTCACCCTGTATGTAATTTCAAACCGCTACGTTTGAGCCTCAGCGGGAACCAATGAGGTTCATTATTGTTACGCAGCAAGAACCAATGAGGTTCATTCTCGTGTTACGCAGAAATTTTGAGCTTCAGCAAGAACCAATGAGGTTCATTCTCGTGTTACACAGCACGTTTGAGCTTCAGCAAGAACCAATGAGGTTCATTCTCGTGTTATGCAACAAATTTTGACCTTCAGCAAGAACCAATGAGGTTCATTCTCGTGTTACGCAACAAGTTTTGAGCTTCAGCGAGAACCAATGAGGTTCATTCTTGTGTTGCGCAACAAATTTTGAGCTTCAGCGAGAACCAATGAGGTTCATTCTTGTGTTACGCAACAAATTTTGAGCTTCAGCGAGAACCAATGAGGTTCATTCTTGTGTTACGCAACAAATTTTGAGCTTCAGCGAGAACCAATGAGGTTCATTCTTGTGTTACGCAACAAATTTTGAGCTTCAGCGAGAACCAATGAGGTTCATTCTTGTGTTACGCAACAAATTTTGAGATTCAGCGAGAACCAATGAGGTTCATTCTTGTGTTACGCAACAAATTTTGAGCTTCAGCGAGAACCAATGAGGTTCATTCTTGTGTTACGCAACTAATTTTGAGATTCAGCGAGAACCAATGAGGTTCATTCTAGTGTTACGCAACAAATTTTGAGCTTCAGCGAGAACCAATGAGGTTCATTCTTGTGTTACGCAACAAATTTTGAGATTCAGCGAGAACCAATGAGGTTCATTCTTGTGTTACGCAACAAATTTTGAGCTTCAGCAAGAACCAATGAGGTTCATTCTTGTGTTACGCAACAAATTTTGAGATTCAGCGAGAACCAATGAGGTTCATTCTTGTGTTACGCAACAAATTTTGAGATTCATCGAGAACCAATGAGGTTCATTCTTGTGTTACGCAACAAATTTTGAGCTTCAGCGAGAACCAATGAGGTTCATTCTTGTGTTACGCAACAAATTTTGAGATTCAGCGAGAACCAATGAGGTTCATTCTTGTGTTACGCAAAAAATTTTGAGATTCAGCGAGAACCAATGAGGTTCATTCTTGTGTTACGCAAAAAATTTTGAGATTCAGCGAGAACCAATGAGGTTCATTCTTGTGTTACGCAACAAATTTTGAGATTCAGCGAGAACCAATGAGGTTCATTCTTGTGTTACGCAGCACGTTTGAGCTTCAGCAAGAACCAATGAGGTTCATTCTCGTGTTACGCTGCACTTTTGAACTTCGACAAGAACCAATGAGGTTCATTCTTGTGTTACGCAGCACGTTTGAGCTTCGACAAGAACCAATGAGGTTCATTCTTGTGTTACGCAGCACGTTTGAGCTTCAGCAAGAACCAATGAGGTTCATTCTCGTGTTACGCAGCACATTTGAGCTTCGACAAGAACCAATGAGGTTCATTCTCGTGTTACGCAGCACATTTGAGCTTCGACAAGAACCAATGAGGTTCATTCTCGTGTTACGCAGCACTTTTGAGCTTCAGCAAGAACCAATGAGGTTCATTCTCGTGTTACGCAACAAATTTTGAGATTCAGCGAGAACCAATGAGGTTCATTCTTGTGTTACGCAACAAATTTTGAGATTCAGCGAGAACCAATGAGGTTCATTCTTGTGTTACGCAGCACGTTTGAGCTTCAGCAAGAACCAATGAGGTTCATTCTTGTGTTACGCAGCACATTTGAGCTTCGACAAGAACCAATGAGGTTCATTCTTGTGTTACGCAGCACGTTTGAGCTTCGACAAGAACCAATGAGGTTCATTCTTGTGTTACGCTGCACGTTTGAGCTTCTGCAAGAACCAATGAGGTTCATTCTTGTGTTACGCAGCACTTTTGAGATTCAGCAAGAACCAATGAGGTTCATTCTCGTGTTACGCAACAAATTTTGAGATTCAGCGAGAACCAATGAGGTTCATTCTTGTGTTACGCAACAAATTTTGAGATTCAGCGAGAACCAATGAGGTTCATTCTTGTGTTACGCAGCACGTTTGAGCTTCAGCAAGAACCAATGAGGTTCATTCTCGTGTTACGCAGCACGTTTGAGCTTCAGCAAGAACCAATGAGGTTCATTCTCGTGTTACGCTGCACTTTTGAACTTCGACAAGAACCAATGAGGTTCATTCTTGTGTTACGCAGCACGTTTGAGCTTCAACAAGAACCAATGAGGTTCATTCTTGTGTTACGCAGCACGTTTGAGCTTCGACAAGAACCAATGAGGTTCATTCTTGTGTTACGCAGCACGTTTGAGCTTCGACAAGAACCAATGAGGTTCATTCTTGTGTTACGCTGCACGTTTGAGCTTCTGCAAGAACCAATGAGGTTCATTTTCGTGTTACGCTGCACTTTTGAACTTCGACAAGAACCAATGAGGTTCATTCTTGTGTTACGCAGCACGTTTGAGCTTCGACAAGAACCAATGAGGTTCATTCTTGTGTTACGCAGCACGTTTGAGCTTCAGCAAGAACCAATGAGGTTCATTCTCGTGTTACGCTGCACTTTTGAACTTCGACAAGAACCAATGAGGTTCATTCTTGTGTTACGCAGCACGTTTGAGCTTCGACAAGAACCAATGAGGTTCATTCTTGTGTTACGCAGCACGTTTGAGCTTCGACAAGAACCAATGAGGTTCATTCTTGTGTTACGCAGCACGTTTGAGCTTCGACAAGAACCAATGAGGTTCATTCTTGTGTTACGCTGCACGTTTGAGCTTCTGCAAGAACCAATGAGGTTCATTTTCGTGTTACGCAGCACGTTTGAGCTTCGACAAGAACCAATGAGGTTCATTCTTGTGTTACGCTGCACGTTTGAGCTTCAGCAAGAACCAATGAGGTTCATTCTTGTGTTACGCAGCACGTTTGAGCTTCGACAAGAACCAATGAGGTTCATTCTTGTGTTACGCAGCACTTTTGAGCTTCGACAAGAACCAATGAGGTTCATTCTTGTGTTACGCTGCACATTTGAGCTTCTCCGACAACCAATGAGGTTCATTCTCGTGTTACGCAACACGTTTGAGCTTCTCCAAGAACCAATGAGGTTCATTCTTGTGTTACGCTGCACATTTGAGCTTCAGCAAGAACCAATGAGGTTCATTCTCGTGTTACGCAGCACGTTTGAGCTTCGACAAGAACCAATGAGGTTCATTCTCGTGTTACGCTGCACGTTTGAGCTTCTGCAAGAACCAATGAGGTTCATTTTCGTGTTACGCAGCACGTTTGAGCTTCGACAAGAACCAATGAGGTTCATTCTTGTGTTACGCTGCACGTTTGAGCTTCAGCAAGAACCAATGAGGTTCATTCTTGTGTTACGCAGCACTTTTGAGCTTCGACAAGAACCAATGAGGTTCATTCTTGTGTTACGCTGCACATTTGAGCTTCAGCAAGAACCAATGAGGTTCATTCTCGTGTTACGCAGCACATTTGAGCTTCGACAAGAACCAATGAGGTTCATTCTCGTGTTACGCAGCACGTTTGAGCTTCGACAAGAACCAATGAGGTTCATTCTCGTGTTAATCTTGTGTTCACTCATCAATGTTTATATGTGATTAAAAGCCTAAATCAAATCTATTCATCACATAAAGTGATCTAAACTGTTTAGAAAATCTTGATAAACTGCTCGATTCATTTGGATTAGGTTTATGATCCCTTTTTAAAGCGTCGAATTGGTAGCTGCATAGCCGTCAATGGATGAACAAAAATCTCTCATATTTAATTAAAAATATCTTCATTTGTGTTCCAAAGATGAACGGAAATCTTACGGGTTTGGAAAGACACAAGGGTGAGTGATAATGAACACATTTTTGGGTGAATTGATAAAGACCTTATGATGAATAGAGTAAGTACTTCAGAGTGCTGGGATCACAGACACTGAGAGACCTCCTCAGCCACTGCACGCATGCAATAGAAACATTTCAGCGTGTTCACTGTTGTGATCGGTAGCAAATAGAGTTAATCGTCATACTTGGGAGCTCTATGCCTGGGAACGGAACTTGTTGTTTGCCTATTACCAATAAATAAACATCACGTTAAACAAAAATCCACACACAAATGATAGAACATACAAACAAGAAACTAGGACTTCAACAATCCTTATTTTCAAATAAGCTTTCAAATAAACTTTATACACTTCAAGTTGATTTAATTGCCTTCAAATTGAGAACAAATACAAAAGAGGGTATTTTGAGGATTGGTAAAGTCCACACATAAATGTACATGAAGCTACTTGGAGTGAACTCCTCTCAGGCAATGTGAGTATATAAAGGCCAAGATACATACCACACAAAACCTGCTCATAAATCAATATGCTACATATCACAGTGTGTTTATGAACTTTCTAATTAAGCAAACTGTGTGCTCAAGGTAAGACGCAGGTAAAATCTAAAACAAATAGCACTTGGAAATAATAGCTGTCTCTCAAAACCTAGATGACTTGTGTTGATGACTTGCAACATAATTGTAATGGTAACTAACAAACATATTCTAAGAGTTTGTGTAGTCCTTAAATTGTTGGTTTATATATGCACATGCTTCAGAGAGATATATTTTTCAAAGTTTATTTAAAAATCTCAGGACCATACAGCACTGGGCACTGTTGATTATTGGGATTATCAATTACCCAACCCACTCTTACCAACTTGACTGCTAGTAGGTCCCATTTAAAATCTTTAGAGTTAAAATGGAGGTCCCCATTTTGAAATATTTAGTTAGTTTCACTATAATATATAGTATGTCACAATAGGGAAAAACTTTAAATCAACTTCTAAATACATTAATACTAACACATTCCGTGTCAAGAGCTACCAATATAGCATCAACTGTTTTTCTAGTTAGGTGGCTTGCTAGGTTTTGGAACAGATTGTCTAGGTAGCTCACATACTGACTAGGTTTTGAGACAAAGCCTTAGTAAGCATCTAGAAACAGAGCGAAATGAATGTGGGAGGGTTAAAAAAAACCTCTTGACCTATCTTGAACTACTTAACAGAGCTAGGCTAAATGCTGCAATCGACCCTTTTATTAACAGGATCATGGTATAAATCTCACAAAAACATGTCTAGATGCATTTCACCCCAAAATCAAAATGGCATAGCCTAAATAAAATAAATAAAATAAATATAATTAGTTAATTTCTTTCTCCACCAAGTCTTTCTTGCACTGTGGCTTTATGTTAATGACAATTAAACACATTTTCAGTCTGTGTACATTCATTTGTTTTGTTTTTTGGTTTTAATACTGAAAGCAGAAAGATAAATACAATTTTCAACAATAATTCGGCTTGATCAAAAAATGTGCCATAGTATCACTTTTCTGCTTTCATTATTTCATTATATAACATACATGGACCATTTCCACCCTAATTCTCAAAACCACACTGCTTCTTTATATTCTACCTTTGAGTTTTTATAATAAACTCCCATATTTCTTACTGGTAATTCTTAATACTATTACTGAAATACAATATGTTTTACTTAATCACCTTAAAGGCATTACTACACACACTACCATGAGGTACAAATACTTCAGAACCTCAATTTCATATGTTTGTTATGTTTTTTTAAATATTTTTTTTAGATTTTTGCCAGAAAATAAAATCTCAATGAAAAAATATATATAAAAAAAAATAACCACTTCATTCTTTTGATTTTAGGGTCAAATATAAGCAGGACATGTTTTGACAGGTTTTGTGAGTGTCTTGCTGGTCAGTGTTTATAACCAGGTTAGTGTTTATAACCTGGTTAAGATCTTAATAATGATTAGTCACAGGGTTCAAGCTGCTGGGGTCGTGCAGATCTACAGTGTGGTGGTTCTTACATGGCAACTCCAAGCCGGAGTGTCCAAAGGTGTTGCGGACACATGGAGGAGAATGCCGCCCGTCTGCCATGTCTGACTCCGAACACTGAGCTTCTCCGTGCATGACGGCCAGACCGAGACGCAAACGCTCCGCATACGACTGAGCCCTGAAGAGACAACGACAAGAGAGGGGACACATACAGATAGGTTATAGTTTGCGTGCAGGTGCACAAATTTTCCCGTCAAGTTTGTTGTTTTTAAAAATCACAACTTATGCGTCGGAAATGGTGTACGTACGCCTATTCAGGGCATGTGTTGTGCATACACAACAGTTAGAAATTAGGCCATAGAACTTAGAAGTGGAATCAGAAGCCAGGCTGTTGTGATTGGTCTACTACTCTACTCTGATTGGTCAGATGGTTTAGGCTGTTGTGATTGGTCTACTACTCTACTCTGATTGGTCAGATGGTTTAGGCTGTTGTGATTGGTCTACTACTCTGCTCTGATTGGTCAGATGGTTTAGGCTGTTGTGATTGGTCTACTACTCTGCTCTGATTGGTCAGATGGTTCAGGCTGTTGTGATTGGTCTACTCTGCTCTGATTGGTCAGACAGTTGGTCGACCGGTTACAGTGCATGCCGGAAACCAAACACGGCCATATCGTTTAGTAACAGGACGTAAAACTGATGACTGGTTTCAGGCAGTTCAGAAGTGGTTCTTTCTTTTGGGAGTCAACAACTCCATCTTCAAAACGTTGAAGAACTTGAACATTCACAAACAGTTATATTATATATTACATGGAAGGAAATATCCGAAAAAAAGCATAATGGGGCAAACAACCTGAAAGTGTGGTTTCGAAATACTGTAAACAAGCAGACCCACATCCACTCTGCACTCCCAAATCTCTGCAAATGTGCATCCATCCACAAAGTGAAATACTTTATCTACCCCAAGCGCCTTATTTAACTGGATAACATTTTCATCTAAAAATGTAGTGTTTTCAGCTCGGTTTAACCCATTTCACAATGTTTAGATACACTCCCTCATTCCCTTCCATCTAGGCCTGCTTTCACCCACAAAACAAACACAAATGGAAATCACACCCAGGAAGAGTTACCGTTTTGCAGCAGATGGGGACTTGGCTACAATGATAGCATTTCTATAATCAGGAACCTATGCAAAACAGAAAAAGTAAGAAGAGAAATGATCAATATTAATTATTAATTGATTATTTATCAAGTTTATGTCAGTGAATGTTGCCGACCTCCTCCTGGATGTACTGCAGCAGGAATGGAGAAGCCCGCAGGTTGTCCACAGGGAATGTAAAGAAGCCTTGGATCTCTTTCTGGTGCAGATCCATTGTGATTATATGAGTCAGCCCTAATTATCAATGCAGGGAGTAAAATATATATATAGTTGTCATATAATAACGAGTTTATAATAATAAAGACTGAATGTTACTAGTGTGAAAACAGAAGTAGGAACATCATAGACATTACCTGCTTTAGCTAACATGGAAGCGAGCAGTTTGCACACAATAGACCCTCTCTTCCTCATCTTACACTGTTTACTGTAGGGGAAGTACGGGATCACGCCGATGATGTTCTTGGCACAGGAGGTCTTCAGTGCGTAGGCCATAATCAGCAGCTCCATAATAGCAGTGTTGACATCTCTGACAGAGAGAAAAATATAAATCTAAAGTGCTTCTGGGTTTAAAGGGATACTACACTTTTTTTGGGAAATAGGCTCATTTGACAGAACCTCCAGGATTTCACGATTTTTTTTTTTGTGATTTTTGCGATCAAAATGACTGATTTTGTGGTGGTAATTTCCAAAAAATTTTGAAAAAATTTGCGATTTATATATAACATTTACCATAATAGTATTTAGTCCTTCCAGAAAAACGTGGAGTTTTTTTGTGATTGTCGCGGGCAAAAATTGATTGATTACGCGGCCCGTCTTCTTTAAAAATGCGATGGAATATATATATTTATATTTATGCAATTTTATGCAATGAAATTTGCAAAAATTGCGGTTTGATGAAAAAGAGAAAAAAAGTGAATCCCCCAACATCCTGTTCTCACTAGGCTAATGTAAGAGTCATTTCTTATTACTTCCTTTGACAAGCAAGCATACTACATCATAGAAAGCGCTGGGAATATTTAATTTCTCATCTTGTTTAATTTCAGACTATAACGAGTGTAAATAAGGTGTGACCCCTTTAAGAGCTGCGCGCTCCTGTTGAACTCTCTGCAGTGTTATATGTGCGCCTCGAACACCCCATGTGTGCGGGTCATTTCTGATTGATGCTACTACTTTTATCTTATGTTGTTTATTAAGTAACGACGTGACGGTAGAACGTGTGACAGACAGAATACGAGTTCGATTTGTTTTTTTTTTTGTGATGTCAATCGCCTCCGTGAGTCTGTCTGGCGTCGCGTAATTGCGTCACTTCATAACGTTCCCATGGAAACAGGGTGAAATGGCTGCTCTTGTGTGAAGCAAATGCAACATTTTTCAACTTTCTGCTAAGATACATGTGACTTTTTTTGCAAAGAAAATGCGAGGATTATGAAATTATGCAAACCCCGCATATTTTGCACGGAAATCGGCAATTTATGCGGCGAAAGTGCGGCGTATTTAAAAAAATGCGGACTTTGGCTGATTTTGCATTGAATTCAGCGATCGCATAATCGCGTTTTTCTGGAGGGACTGATTTGACAGTTCCCCCAGAGTTAAACAGTTGGGTTTTTACTGTTTTCGAATCCATTCAGCCAATTTTCTGATATTTAGGCCACCCTTAAAAATATTCTTGTTTGCCGTAACCCGACCGACCCTGTCAATTTAGGGCCGACCCAATTTTTTTTTTTTTTTCCTTTTAGTCCGACCGACTTGCCGGTTGTAACCTGCGTTCAGACCGACCGATTTTTTTTTTTTACTCTTCAAACGACTAATTCAAAATCAATAAAATAATATTAATTATATTTTAGTTAGTATTGTAAAAGTTGCTTGTGTCTACATAGCCAACAAACGTAGGCTACGTTCTTTCTTAAATAAAAACCCGTGGCGTCATAGTCATCCGATTATGTTTACACCATTGGTTTAACGTTAAGCGTGTCACTATATGGCTTGTACGTTCGCTCGTTTCAGTGTTCCCGCTTGGTACCCGGTATTAAAAGGGCAACGGTGCTGAATATCAACCATTTCTATAATAAAAATATTAAACAATTTGTCTGTGATGCAATTTTGCTATTCGCAGTCCAGAAGAGAGAGCGATCTCTCACCCGGAGCCACAGCGCGCACAGCACGACAGCCCTGCTTAATGAGTGACAATGAGGACAAAACGTGGTTACACTTTAGATCTGGGATATTATTCTAATTGTATTTTAGATTTCCGCTTTCAAAGATTATAAAAAGAAGATATTTGAGATGAAACCATTACAGAAGCATTGTGTCTAGCGCAACTTCCTTCCCTTCACAGCGCTGCGCTGTCATTTCTTCCTAAACCCAAACGTACCGTCAGAATCAGCATGATCGGTGATTGTTGTAAAATGCAGTCTGTAGGCTACTGTTGCTAAACTGCGGACGCGTTCAATCATTAAAAGAGCTACTAAAAGCACAAAAGTCTGCGCAAGAGAAGTTGTTCACGACGCGCGCTCCGAAATGCACTAAAACGAGACAAGAAAAGTAGGCTATCGCCTCATTTTGGGCTTCATGTGCGCATCTAAACCATCAAATATACATAAATATAAAATGACCTGCTCTGAGATTCATTTAAACACAGTTTATGTCTTAATTGGATGTAAATTGGGAGAAAATGATGGTGCATCAGTCATCTATTACAGTAGAGTTCTGCATTTGGTCTTAAAGGGGCAGTAGTCTAATAAACGTGACGATTGAGCCAATGCGAATCAAACAACAAAAGGCAGATAAAAATCACTCACAGCTCTTGAATGAATAACTTAAACTTTAATAAGCATTAATCTAACTATGATAAACTATGTAGTGTCATTTTACATTTGATTACTAGCTAAATTAAATTTCTTTTCAGAGAGAGCGACAGACTTGACTGAAAAGCTAATTTTAGACCTTCCTGAAATTAAAGCACTGTGTATATAGGCTAATTTGTATCTTTGTTTAATTGTATTCTTTGTTTGACCATGTGTTTGTGCTTGTTTTTGCTGATCTCATGTATATATGCATAACAAATAGATATTTTATACATTTTGTGACATTTTGAGCCTAAAATGTAACTGGTCGTATTTTGCATAGCGGTGGATGCACAGTTTGAAGACCCAGTCAGTGACGTCACAATATGCATTTTTTTTTTAAATTCACGATCACCATCTCCAAAATTGTACCTTTTTTTTTTACACTGAATCTTGGAAAAAAAAATATAGACCTACCTACCGATCCTTTTTTTTAAAAAAAATTGCTGTTACTGCAAACCAAAATATTTTTAAGGATGGCCTTATAAGAATGTCAGTAAACAGACAGTTTCTGGTCTCATTGACTTCCATAGTAGGAAAAAAATATACTATGGAAGTCAATGGGACCAGAAACTGTCTGGTTACTGATATTCTTTTAAATATCAGAAAATCGTTTGAATGGATTCGAAAACGGTAAAACTCAACTGTTTAACTCTGGGGGAGTGGTAAAATGAGCCTATTTCCCCCAAAAAAAGTGAAGTATCCCTTTAAAACACCAATGTATGCAGTTCAGAATAAAAGGTAAGATGCCATGTAAATAAACAAGCTAAAAAGCATGGCTTTTCACCTTTTGCGTTCAATGCAAAAATGTGGGTGAGTAAATTATTTTGGTGTGAACCAACCCTTTAACTGGCAACCACATCTCACATTAAAAATACCAACTTGTGTACAATGATCCCATTATATATGATATAGATTGCAAAAAGCAGACACAAATAAGTTTAAACGTCCTGAATTTACTTAATAAGAGTGCACACTCTTACCTGGGAATGGTTTGGATGATGAAGATTGTTTGTCCTCTCACAGACTCTTTGATCTCAACTCTTGTTTCTGTAAGATAAGAGCAAATACATCAAAAAAGCAACATTATTAAGTTGCTACTAACTGTTTATTGGGTGAAATGTACAAACAATAATAAGAAATTTACTTTGCAACCATTAAAATAAATCGAACGTGTGTTTAGTATGAATGAGATTTGGACACACTGCAACATCATGTGACTTAAGTAATCGCTGGAGCTTCTCGTGTGGCCTTATGGGATAGTAAAGTGTCCATCAGGTACGCATTTCATTCGTGGATACACAATCTGGCCGTGTAAAGAAGGTCACCCGGGTAACGTTTCACCTACTGGTTTATGAATGCTATGAATTCGGACATACTGCATTTTCTTCAGTGTTTTACATGTTCTACATAGTTGGCTTATCAAACACATGATAGGTCTCATTCACTAACACACAAATGTTATCAAGAACAAGTCATGATTCACCAACTTTTCTACTAAAAGTTGTTGCAAAATGAAAAAGGTTAATAAAAGTGAAACCAGACATTTCTTCATCATAAAGTCACCATGAAATCAAAATTGACAAATCTTATTTATTATAAATAATTGACCCATGCACATATTTTTCTTTTAATTAATGCATCTTGTAGTCTTTACTCATAACATCTTCTCTGATGATGCGTTCACTGGCGTGAGGGCGGAGCAACCTGTCACTCACGCGAGATCCACCAATAGCAAACCATCCAACCAATTCCATACGGACAAAAACGAGTCTCGTCCTACATTTTTTAGCTGTTTCAATCTGACTTATGTCACAATTTACTATTGCAGCAGCTTCTATTTCATGATGACTTCATATACAGTGAAATACTCACATAATAGCAGTGTTATGGCTCATCTGCAATAACAACACAGATATGCATGTGTACCGCTGGCTAATAAGTGGTCAAATCTGTGGAGTTTATTGTGTTTAAGTTGGTTATTGAGCATGCATGCGCTCTCAGAATCGTCTTTAGAGAAGGTCACATGTTTGCTGAGCGTGACGAAAGGCTGTCAAGGAAGGGTCGCACAGAAAGCCCTTATTTGGAGATTCTTTAGGCGTGTTTTATGCAAACGACCATAACCTCGGACACATGGTCGCTCATTTAGAATACTCCAGATTCATTAACATTAGAACGAGATTAAGAACTAACGCATGCATTGAGAATTGGGTCGAATTGTTTTGTGTGAAGTTTAGGGATGGGCAATGATTAATCGCGATTAATCGCATCCAAAATAAAAGTTTGTGTTTACATAATATATGTGTGTGTAGTGTGTATAATTAATTTGTATATATAAATACCCACACATGCATGTATATATTTAAGAAATATGTGCATGTATATATTTTATATATATTTATTCACAATTAATATTATATATAAATAGAAATATTTGATATATTAATAACACATTTTTCTTAACCCTTGTGCTGCATTAGATTTTTAACACCGTTGAGTGCATTAAGGACCAAAAATGGCCACATATTAAACATTGCCTAAAATATTATATATTATTATTATTTTCCACTTTTACCAAGTTAAATCTTTTAACCAGCATCAGTCCTCATCATAACTACCAAAAATGTATTCAATTTCAGGATTTTAGCCCTTTAATTACCAGTTTTGTTTGCGAAACCATCGATTTGTATAAGAGGAAAAAACACAAAAATTCAATTATTTTCAATAAACTAAATGCAAAGAGAAAACTTTAGATTTGGATTATCACAGTCCCACTTTGCAAAAAATCCCACTTAGCGCGTTAGAGACCAAAAATGGCCACCTATTAAACATTGCCTATTGCCTAAAATAAGGTGCATTTCCACCCATAGGGAATAAATATGTAGTGACGTCATCTGCTGGAATACACTATATAATGCAAATATAATGCTTTTGCTTCAAAATGAAAGGATGTTTGTGCAAAAATCATGTTTCATGTATTACTGACAGCCTCAGATTTAAACAACGTTTTAATGGGTTTCAATGGGCCATTTTTGGTCTTTATGGTGCTGAGTGTTACTATTTGATCTACACAGTGTGTGTTATACATATTTTGCAAAATGGGATCACATTTTTTACATGTATCCAAAAAGTCACAATTTTGCCAAATTTCATACCATTTGCATTAAAACAGCCAAAATGGTCAAAGAAATTAAACTGCAAAAGACCAAAAATGTCCCTAATGCAGCATAAGGGTTAAATATATACATGCATGTGTGGGTATTTACATATACAAATTAATTATACACACTACACACACATATATTATGTAAACACAAACTTTTATTTTGGATGCGATTAATTGCGATTAATCGTTGCCCATGAAGTTTTTCTGAGTGTACAGATCTGAAATAATCATTTGAGTTTTGTGTGATGTAGTGCAGACTTTGAGAGATACAGATGAAGCTTGAAACTGCAAAAATCCAGTGATGGCCTAGTAATTACAAACAAATCAGTGATGTAATGCAATCACGTTTTTTTAGATATTGTAGTACAATTAATCACAAACCAAGACACTATTGTAAGTACATGTAGTTACTTAATATTACTCTGTACTTAAATATTTAATTACAGTGCAACAAAGACACTGTACAGTGTAATTATATATTTATAAGTACTGGGTATTATTAATTAACAACATGTACGTACTCTAGAGTTAGGGTAGGATATGGTTGATGGTTAGTTGTAATTATGCCCAATTTACTGTTATTACTATGGTAAGTAAACAACATAAGTAACAAAGACACTGTAAAATAAAGTGTTACAAAAATAAAGTGTAGCACTTCATTTCAAAGAGTCCTTTAGAGTGTAATTATATAATTAAGTACCAAGAGATATCAATTAACCACATGTACTTAGTATAGAATTAGGATTAGACGTTTGCAATTACGAATGGCTTACTGTTATTATTACTTGAGTATGCGTACAAACGCACTAAACCCATTTATTTACTAGGATTAGCATAAAGCTGACTTTTTAAAAACAAATGATAGTAAACTTTAGTTCAGTCCATGTTATGGTGTCAAAGGTCAAAGTGTGTTTGAACAAGGCATTATTGATCACCTCTGTTTGACTCCTGGTAAACAACTGATTTCCCCAGCTCGACTCCAAGACGCCTGCGCAAACACAAGCAGAACATCAACACAGGTTTGCAAAGTTTCTTATCATGAGAGTAACTTTGAAGCAGAGTTAATTCAGTGAATGCAGGATATTCCCAGTCACATGTACAGCTTATGTGATGAATAGCCCACTGTTTCTGATCTATTCACGTGCACGAGATAAACATTACATTTACTTCCCACGGTGTCCTAAAGTAAGTACACTTATTACAGGTCCACTTCTCTGATGTTCAAAAGCACAATGGTCATGATTTATTGATCAGTTATCGATCCCAAAATTTTACAACTAGTCTATAACGTCATCAAAGTGACGATGTGGTGAAGAAACGGGCCAGCTTCTGTTGATCTACAGGCCACTATCACAATAACATCACATTTATACATCAAGAACAGCTTCTATAATCACGACCCATGTCAAATATCGAGCAGTTATTCGTAGGATACGTTACTTACTCAGTAATCCTCTTAGAGAGCTCAATGCAGGCGGGCGTAGAGTTAGCCGAGAAAACACGATAACCACTTTTAGCCACGTTCATGATCAACTACACAATGACCAACAACAAAAACTGAGTCGTTTAAAGGTCTACTGCTGCAGAGCCTTGTGGGTTTATCTTCGTATTTACAAAGGAAAACCTGTGCGTGGATGTTGTAATAGCTACTGAAGAAGACCAACGTTTACTGCGGTTTCCAAACAACCATACTGATTTCTTCTGCGCGAGCTCCGCTGCTGTCTATGAACGCACGGCACGTCACTGCTGACACCTAGTGGCGGGCGCGTGTGGATGAATCACTGCTTCGTGAAGCTTCGAATCCTTTGAGAATCATTTGGTTTGAACCAGTGATTCGGAGCAGGTGTCGTGTGTCAAACTGCTAAAGTCACGTTATTTCAATAAACGAGGCTTGCTTTAACTGTTTTCAAACGTTCACGAAATGTTTAGTTTATGAACCACTGTCTTTATGGTTTTTACCTGATTTCTGTAATCTGTATAAAAGGGAGAGTTGTAGTCTTGGCCTGATTCAAATCAATATTTTAATCCTATAATTTAACAAAATAACAATTTTTACAGACTACACTTCGTTTAATGGTATAATTTTTAATGGCATGCACTTTCTATAAAACATTATTGCGCACTGTGTTTTTGTGTATGCATGACCAGCAGGGGTCACCAGCGTATTGCGTTTTGGGGGCTTCAAAACAACAAATCATTTTGCGAATCAATTGTTTCAATTGATTCAAAGTTTCAACCAAAAAAATAAAAACTTCCCCCAATGAAATTTTTCTAGGCTTTTTTTTCCCCTTACTCAGGACACATTGTGGATACAAAATCATTTGAGTTTTCTTCTGTTGCAATTTGTTCTTGGTTGAACGCCATTTTGGCTTAAAATGACTGGACTATTAAAAGGGAGCGCAGCTCGTCCACTGTATCAGGGGAGAGACCCTGCCCCCGATCCAAATTTTTCAGCAGGTTGACTTGGTATGCCTGTAACACTGACAGAGTGTGTGAGGAAGCCCCAGTCTGACCTCCTGCCGTGTTTGCCCTGCTGTTCAAGCGAGACGTCATCATGAGTGGCTTAGATAGCAGGGCCGGAGCTGTTAGTGCCGATGTGTCTCCAGCAGAGAGATAGTTTGTGAATTGCCCAATCTAGTCGATTGGGGGCATCAACACATAGCCATGTTAACGCATCCCCTCGACATCAGTGTAGTTTGCTCGCTGCTGACGATGGATGTTTGCAGAATATTGGTCCTTCCATGACTTCTTGATCTCAGTATGCAGATCAGGAAAGACTGGAAGCTCATGGGAGCTGGGAATTATGGCCAGAAAGGAACCGCTAATCCAGCCTGCCGCGAACATCTCCTTCCTTGACGCACTCCCACAGCAGCTGAAGCATCACTGAAGCGCGCTCCATAACACCCAACAGCTCATCATATGTGGGTCAGGGAGGCTGTGAGGGTTCAGGTTGTACCTCTTCTTCATCAGCCATCTCCTGCTCTCTCGGGCTGGGTGTCAGCAGAGCTCTCGCTGCAGGATTAGAGGATGTAAGAGATAACACATCCTCGTCCAGCAACTCACCCTCGCGAGCTTCTGACACCGTGAGAGAGAAACACCTCCCTCAAACTCGTCATCGAGCTCCATCTGGGAACCCCATGATCCGAGTCTCCGCAGTGCCTCAGCACGAGCCGGACCCGAACCACTGGGCCCAGATGCCTGATCCTCTTCAGAGGTTACTATAACCTAAACGTTTTAAAGCAGCATTATCTTACTAAATTTTGATATTGGGGTCCCCCTACAGTTGGGAAACAGTATTGTCTTGAACTACTGTTGTAAAATCTGTCATGGTTACACTAGGAAATACACGCGTGCATTTGTTGACAAGCGATACCCCCGAACTCTGCAGAAGGAAGGAGTTCTCACATCTTACGTCCAGCCTTTTATTTTGCCCCTCTTCCTTTTTCTCTTTCTACTGTCCTCCAACAAAAGGAGGACAGTAGAAGGAGGACTTTTGGCATCTTGGTTTTACTTGCTGCTTCAGCCATAACAACATACAGAGGTAAAAAAACGCTTGTTGGGCTCTCGCGTCGGTATTTGAGGAAGTGGGGGAAGTGATTTATGCCGTAAAGCAGTCGAATTTTGTAGTTCTTTTTGTGCTCGGGTTCCTATCCGCTCCACGAAGTTACAGAGTGCAAAAGCGATACAGACCACGTCAGGCTATGGCAAACCTGTCATTTAACCTATTGTAAGTCGATGTACCATCTCAAGAGTTTTGGAAAAATATTATAAAGGTTGAAAAAGTTACATAGTGCTGCTTTACGAGGCTAATTATGTTGTGTAGCTTGATTATGAAAAGCAAGAATATACGCTTGCATTGCAAAATTCTAAACATTGTTTAGTTGCCTTGACAGTAAGTTTTATTTTAGCTAAACTTATTTATTTAATTTTTTTACAGTGAACGTTTTGTAAATCTTTTCCCAGATTTTGTTTTTTCTGAACTTTAAGAAACCGGCTCCAATCGTAGTGTATTATGTGTGCGGTGTGTGTCTAAATCAGCAGTTCCTCTTTCACTGAAGGGGTTTTTGTACGGCTGTGTTTCACTGTGTTAATGGATAGTCATAATGCTGCTGACAGTAATAATCTCCTGCATCTTCAGGCTGGACATTTCTAATATTGAGCATGAAGTTTGTTCCTGATCTCCCATCAGTGAATCTCTCAGAAACTCCAGGCACTTTGTTACCAACATAATAAAACAGAAGTTTGGGTGTTTGTCCGGGTTTCTGGTGATACCAGGCTAAACTGGATTGAAAGCTAGAACTGCTGGACCTGCAGTTGAGAGTGACGCTGCTTCCCACAGACGCCTGATTCACGGATGGACTCTGAGTCAGAATGATCTCAGCAAAACAACCTGCCATCACAGCACATCAGTCAGTGTTACAGTCAAACACACAATACATGAGAAGAATGACACAACATTTATAAAGCACTTCTGAAAAAGCTCTGAATGTTCAACACTAATCTCACCAGCGAGAGAAAGCAGTAGAGAGCAGATAATCAGAGCGTTTGCAGTCATCTTTGCTGAGAATGAGTGAGAACAGACGAGACCTGCTGTTTACAGTCCTGACCGGCCGACAGTCCGTCTTAAACAAAGGGGTGTTGCACATATTCAAAGCTGCTTCCTTTCACGAGGAAATCCGACTGTAATGGAGAGGCAGAGTCGTGCGGATCCATATGCAGTGTAGATTTATTAAGAGTAGTAATACAGGCACGGGTCAACGATCAGCATAAATGTATAACAGACAATCCACAAGAATCACCGATGACAGGCAGGGGTCAGGACAGGCAGCAATGATCAAAGTCCAGAAGAGACAGGCGAGGGTCAGGGCAGGCAGCAAGGGTCGTAATCCAGAAACACAGGCAATGGTCAGGGCGGGCAGCAAACGGAGAATCAAAGTCCAAGAACAGTCGAGGGTCGATACACAGAGAATACAGATAAACACAGGGGAAAACGCTCAGAGATGTCGCCGGGGCAAAACAAGACTTCGCACTGATTGAGAGTCAACGGGCTGTTTATATAGGATGGTAAATAGGGAACACCTGTGCCGGTGATTAACCCTAGGTACGGGGCTTATGGGAAATGCAGTTCAATACTCGGGAGACGGAGCTCTATGATGAGCGGAGAGAGCCACGGAGGAGCGATTCATGACAGAGCCCCCCTCCTGCGAGCGGCTCCTGAAGCGAGGATGTGTGCGACGCCGAGGTCTTCCACGGGGTCTCGGGGCAGGTTTAGTGGGGTGTTGTTGATGGAACTCGGAGATCAATGATGGATCCAGAATATCCTGGGACTTTACCCACGATCTCTCCTCAGGACCATACCCCTCCCAGTCGATCAAATATTGTAGTTCCCTGCCTCGGCGTCTTGAGTCAAGAATCTCTCTCACCCGGTACGCCTCCTCGCCTTCGATGATGATGGGAGGGGAGCTCGTCTCCGCAACCTCGTCCTGGTCCCTCTCTCCACTCGGAGCTCCGGCAGGTTTGAGCAATGAAACATGGAAAGTGGGAGAGATACGGTAAGTAGATGGCAATGCAAGTCGGTATGATACAGGGGTGATTTGTCTGAGAATTTTGAATGGACCCACGTACCTAGGGCTCAGCTTCTTGCTGGGAAGACGGAGGCGTAGGTCCCTGGATGACAGCCAGACCCATTGTCCTGGTTGATAGTTGTGCCCTCCTCTCCGATGACGGTCCGCTTGCTCTCTGAAACGTCGAACTGCCCGTTGTAAATGAACATGAGCACTATTCCAGGTCTCCTCACTTCTCCGAAGCCAATCGTCAATGGCCGGTACATCCGTAGGTTCCCCGGACCAGGGAAATAGAGGTGGTTGATAACCCAGAATGCATTGAAATGGTGTTAGACCTGTGGACGGTTTACGTAGGGAATTTTGAGCATATTCAGCCCACACCAGAAAACGACTCCACTCCTGTTGATTTTGGTTGCAGTATGTCCGCAGGAAACGAGTGAGTTCCTGGTTGAGCCTCTCTACTTGTCCATTGGCCTGTGGATGATATCCGGAGGTTAAACTGACATTGATATTTAACTTTTCACATAGAGCCTGCCATACCCGCGACGTGAACTGAGGACCCCTGTCAGACACGATATCCTCGGGTAGTCCGTACAGCCGAAACACCTGTTGCATCAAAGCCTCTGCTGTCTGTAGCGCTGTGGGAAGTTTGACCAATGGAATGAACCGACAAGCCTTAGAAAACCGGTCGACCACCGTTAGAATGGTTGTGAAACTCTGTGAGGACGGGAGATCGGTGACAAAATCAATTGCGATGTGGGACCATGGGCGTTGTGGTACGGGAAGTGGTTGGAGTAATCCGGCAGGTCTCTGGTGAGATGATTTTGAGATGTTACATGCAATGCATTGCTTTACGAAGGAGATCACGTCCGCCTGAAGCGTTGACCACCAGAATCGGTTCATGACTAGGTGAGTAGTGGCTGTGATTCCAGGATGGCCTGAGCTGGGAGTATTATGCACCCATTCCAGCACTCGAGTGCGAAGAGAAGTCGGTACATATGTACGATCTGGAGGACAGTCCGAGGGTGGTTGCTCCTCCTGCTGAGCGGCTGAAATTTCTGTCATGATATCCCACTGGATGGGAGCCACGATGACGGCGGAGGGCAGAATGGGTTCTGAAGTATGAGCATTGGGTGAACTATCAAATTGTCTTGAGAGAGAGTCCGCCTTACCATTCTTGGATCCGGGACGGTACGTCACTTTGAAGTCGAATCGACTAAAGAACAAGGACCACCTGGCCTGTCTGGGATTCAGTCTCTTGGCTGTCTTGATGTACTCTAGGTTACGGTGATCGGTTAGAACGGTGAATGGAAGATGCGCTCCCTCCAACCAATGCCGCCACTCCTCCAAGGCTGCTTTCATGGCTAGAAGTTCCCGGTCTCCCACATCATAGTTTCTCTCAGCAGAATTTAATTTTCGTGAATAATATGCACAAGGGAAGAGCTTCTCTGGATTGCCCTGTCGTTGTGACAGTACTGCCCCGATGCCTGTATCCGACGCATCCACTTCAACGATGAACTCTCGCTCTGGGTCGGGGTGATGCAGAATAGGAGCGGTGGTAAATCTCTCCTTCAACTGTTGAAAAGCTCTTAGACTGCTGGGTGACCACTTCAATTTATGTCCACCACCTTGCAACATGGAAGTGAGTGGTGCGGCGATGACGCTGAAGTTTCTGATGAAACGACGATAAAAGTTTGCAAAGCCCAAGAAACGTTGTAGTTGTTTGACGTTCTTGGGTTGTGGCCAATCTACCACGGCCTGAACCTTGTCTCCATCCATGGTGACCCCCTCAGCGCTGATGATGTAACCCAGGAAAGCGATCTGCGTCTGATGAAACTCACATTTAGGTAGTTTTGCGTATAGTTGATTCTCAATGAGGCGCTGTAACACTGCTCTCACCTCTTTCACATGATCCTCAAACGTCTCGGAATAGATCAGGATATCATCGATGTAGACAATGAGATTCCGATTGAGCATATCTCGGAAGATCTCATTAACAAAGGACTGAAAAACAGAAGGACTGTTAGCTAATCCGAAAGGCATCACGGTGTATTCATAGTGCCCCGTAGTGGTTGAAAAGGCTGTCTTCCACTCATCTCCCTCTCGGATCCGTATCAAGTTATATGCGTTTCTCAAGTCGAGCTTGGTAAAATACTTGGCGGTACGGAGCTGTTCAAGAGCAGCGGGAACCAGAGGCAATGGATAGCGGAACTTAACGGTGATCTCATTCAAACTGCGGTAATCAATACAGGGTCGTAAACCTCCATCCTTCTTCTTAACGAAGAAAAAGCCAGCTGAAGCAGGAGAAGTAGATGGTCTTATGAAGCCCTTGGATAGCTGTTCTTCGATGTAGGTCTTCATCGCTTCAGATTCTGGCTGTGAAAGAGGGAATATTCTTCCTCGAGTAGGAGAGGCGCCGGTAATGAGATCGATCGCGCAGTCATAGGGACGGTGAGGAGGAAGTTTGGTTGCCTGATCCTCACTGAAGGCTAACGAGAGATCTTGATATTGAACAGGAATCTTGACTGATTCTGGAACTTCGGAATGAGGAATGGATAAGGACACCCTGGTGATGGAACGGAGACAATCCCTGTGACATGCATTAGACCACTGAACTATCTGTTTTTCAGACCAAGAGATGACGGGGTTGTGTTTCTCCAACCAGGGTAGTCCTAGAATGATTGGGTGTCGTGGTGAGTCAATGGTGAACAGTTGGATGATTTCAGAGTGAAGGGTGCTGGTCTTTAAAGTTACTTCTTGCGAGATGTATTGTATCTCGCCATTCCCCAGCGGACGTCCATCTAACGCTGCTACAGCCCTCGGAGGTGAGCATGGGAGAAGAGAGATATGGTAAGTCTTGGCGAAAGATAGATCAATAAAATTTCCAGCCGCCCCAGAATCTACTAGTGCTGTAGTATTAATCCTATCTCCTCCAAAGTACAGCGTAACATCCAGTTCAAACACATTAGAGGAATTGGAATTGTAACTCACCGCTTTGGGATCTCGTGATGTGGGTCGCTTGGGACATGTCGCCCTCATGTGGCCAGATTCCCCGCAGTAGAGACACAGTCGGTTACGTACTCTTCTCTCTCTCTCCTCCTGAGTTAGATGGGTGTAGCCGATCTGCATGGGTTCACTTTCCTGAACAGCAAATGGAGCTGAATTGCCTCTGTGACCCTGGGGAACTCTCCGAGCTCGTATAAGATTATCCAGCCGAATTGATAAGTTGATGAGTTGTTGTAGTGACTTTCCCTCATCCCGACAAGCCAGTTCTCCCTGAAGCTCTGTATTCAGACCCTTACGGTACAGCAGCTTGAGTGGATCATCGCCCCAGCCTGTCTGTGCAGCAAGAGTCCGGAAGGACAGAGCGTAATCAGCTGCTGAAGAATCGCCCTGACGTAACGCAAGCAGCAGCTCTCCTGGTTCCTTTCCTCCGGCGGGATGCTCAAACACTTCTTTGAATTGTAGCATAAAGTTGTGATAGGACGGGAATGATAGATTACCTCCCTCCCACAGTGCGGTTGCCCACTCCAGAGCTCTGCCAGTTAATAATGAGCAGATGAGAGACACTTTACTTTCATCTGTTTGATAGAATTGGGGCTGTTGATTAATAAAGATGGAACATTGTAGCAAGAAACCTTTACACTTAACGGGACTGCCATCATACTTCTCAGGGAGAGATAGGCGAGGAGGGTTGGCTGCATTACTCCCGAGAGGAGGCGAGGGATCGGGCTCTGGTGAGGGAATCGCCGCAGCGCCGGCAGGTGGCGTCAGGAACTGAACAGACTTGACTAACTGCTCAGTAAGTGTCGTGAGTTTGACCAGCTGTTGCTGGTGAGACGCCAGAATGTTAGCCTGAGTAGACAGCTCAGATACTAGATGATGCATGGCCGCTGGATCCTGTGTCGGCGAAGTCTTCTGTAATGGAGAGGCAGAGTCGTGCGGATCCATATGCAGTGTAGATTTATTAAGAGTAGTAATACAGGCACGGGTCAACGATCAGCATAAATGTATAACAGACAATCCACAAGAATCACCGATGACAGGCAGGGGTCAGGACAGGCAGCAATGATCAAAGTCCAGAAGAGACAGGCGAGGGTCAGGGCAGGCAGCAAGGGTCGTAATCCAGAAACACAGGCAATGGTCAGGGCGGGCAGCAAACGGAGAATCAAAGTCCAAGAACAGTCGAGGGTCGATACACAGAGAATACAGATAAACACAGGGGAAAACGCTCAGAGATGTCGCCGGGGCAAAACAAGACTTCGCACTGATTGAGAGTCAACGGGCTGTTTATATAGGATGGTAAATAGGGAACACCTGTGCCGGTGATTAACCCTAGGTACGGGGCTTATGGGAAATGCAGTTCAATACTCGGGAGACGGAGCTCTATGATGAGCGGAGAGAGCCACGGAGGAGCGATTCATGACACCGACACACTGATTTAAATAAAAAAATAATATTCAGTTTCAAATTTAGGTACCAAATGTAATTTCTACACTTACTGTAATATTTTATATCAGTATCAACTATATTTCTCAAGAGTTTCCTAGGACATGCTGATGATAAAATAAGCATTCAGTAGTTGACCTTCAGTGAATCAAATGGGGTTTAGATTGTGTTTAATTAATCATGGAATGATATATTACAACATTTTTCCCTTTTTAAATGAAATGTATATTTTTAATTGACCTGTAATTGACACTAAACAGTAAATGAACAGAAAGATGTTGTTTTGGAGATGCAGTGAACAGTGCAGCTACTGAAGCGTTCAGCAGGTTTTTGTACGTCTGCTCTATTAGTGTGGATCACTGTGATACACTTTCGGCGGCGGCACCAGACTGGATGTTGGCAGTAAGTAAAGCATTTAAATCATTTTAATTCAGGACAGTGTTGTCATATTTAGTTATATATTTTATGACATTATGAATGTTTTTCTTTGTCTTGTGGAACAAAAATAATCTATTTGATATGCTTACAGTAAATATAGTGTAGGTTTATATGTGAGAGATGATAATACAGACATACAACAAAACTTATAACTACAAAAAAAAAAAAAAAAAAAAAAGATTTGAATATTTTCACCATTATTGACACTGGCTGCGTTTCCAAAAGCATCGTAAGCTTAAGTTGATCGTGGAACAATTGCCACCAATGGTCTCTAAGATCAACTGAGTCTTATACGATGCTTTTGGGAAATGCAGACCTGTAAAAGAGATACATTTGCTAATATTGACATGCTATAAGAGCAAGAGAAGAATATGTTTTTGAAATGTGACATACTACATAGAATAAATACAGTATATTAATTATATAAATAATTGAAAATAAAATATATAAATTAACAAAATAAATCCAAGCACACTGTTCATAGATAAATACCCAACTTTTCTGTATTCAAAATGTACTATACGCTATTATAGATTTTCAACCTACTTTTAAATAAAACAGTTATAAAACTCATTCATGAAATATAAATGTGTTGTTTTGAAAAACAGATATTGTAATAAATGTTATAGAATTTCTATTTTCAAGATTTATTTCTAAAATAATTTAGAATGTATAGTTATAATATAAAATGCAATTTAGAATATGTTTTACGCCTCTCTTCTGGAAAAAGTGCAATTTAGGATAGTTTTAAGAGTACTTATTACAGAATAATAATTTGCTTTAACATTTTACTTCAGTGTGAACCAAAATGTGTTTTCAGACACTTAATCACATGTAATTGAAAAGAAAAAATATGTTGGCTTAAGTTTACATGAAATGCAATTATCTAAACTTTAGAGTGCTTTTTAACCTACTTAAGCTAGCCTTAATTACATCTATGTAATTTCATAATTCATCATATTGTCTTTGAAATATGGTTAAAATGAACTTTTTTTGTACACTAAAAGATACTTTAATGTAATTTCTATTGAAACGTGCCCATCGTGTATATAAATTTGTGATTACACATTTGTAAAGATGAAGCTGCAATTTAGTACATTTAAAATATATTAACTTGTAATATCAAATAACACACGAGAGTTAAAACTATAATGAAGTAGTCTACAGAGTGCTGTACGCTTTTCAATACATCAAAATAAGTGCACTTCTTTAAAGCGTACTTAAGTGTGTTAAGAAACACAGTCATGAAAGTACCTTTAATTACACTTAAGTGGCCTTTTATTAGTTATTAGTTTGTCTGTTTAAGCCGAAGGTAAGAATGTTGTCTGTCACTTTAATCTGTAATAAGTGAATCTGTTTGTTGAGTGAGTTGTTTGTCTTGTTCTCTCAGGCAACACTCCCTCCTAAAGTGACCATCCTGCCCCCGTCCAGTGCAGAGATCTCCTCTCTGAACACAGCGACACTGCTGTGTGTGGCCAGCGAGGGCTTGCCGTCAGACTGGAGCCTGAGCTGGAAGGTGGACGGCAGCAGCAGGGCTCAGGAGAGCAGCGCTGGGCTCCTGCAGAAGGACAATGCTCTGTACAGCTGGAGCAGCAGCCTGACTCTCTCTGAGCAGGAGTGGATGAAGAGCGTCTCAGTGAGCTGTGAGGCCACACGGAGCGGCCAGCCTGCAGTCACTGCACACCTGAGGAGAGATCAGTGTTCAGATCAGTAGATCCGCTCAGTCTCTCCTCTGGCTTCTGCTTCATCCTTCTGGCGGACGACGTGTCTCTTCTGCTTCTCTGACTTCATTCACACAAGAGCATATATGATGTTCTGTTATAACTGAAATAAAATCAATAATATTGTGTCTGACTTTCAGTCTGTGCTTTGAAGAAAAAAAATATTTTTAACCATTTACTGTTTTATATCCTGTCGTTATCAGTGTTTAGAAGTACAAATATTCCTATAAATATTCTTGTAATATAATGTATCCTCTCTAATCTAATTGGGTCGTCTGCATCAAGAAATTAGTATTAAATATTAGATGGTGTTACATTGCAAGACATGTTGACTTCCCTATAAAGTATTTCATCTCAAAACCCCAAATAGATGTCACTCAGTGAAGCATGAAAACACCTGCACAGTAAATTATGAGACAAGAAAGTCATCTTGAAACAGCATTTTGCAAGTGTTTCTATTGTTTAACAAAAACTCTAAATAATATATATATATATATATATATTTATATATTAAAAACCCAAGTTTCCAAAAAAAAATTCTCGCAGTGAATCCACGGGGTTTTTGTTTCCCAGAACCTTTCAAGATTCAACAAGAAATTTTTATCTGGGTATACCCAAAGTTTGGACATGCTGTGTTATTTATGTAAATTAGTACATACGTAATTAGTTAATGCACCGTTTGCCCATGTTTACAAACAATTTCAAAAAATCTGTAATACATTTTTTGTTTGTCTTGATGTAAGTAATCAACTCATTAATTTTCATGGTGATATCTAAAGACTAAAATGTTTACTGAACTTATTTTAATCGAGTTCACTAAAACAATAATATTTCTTAAAACACAATTAAACATTACACTGCATTAACTATAGCTGAAACTTCGCTTTATTGAGCAAACACAATGAAATGAGAAACTTTAAATGAACTCAGAGCACTTGCAGTTACTGATAGCTCACACTATCACACACAAAGTCAAATCCAATGACTTAAACTAACTAGTTTCATTTGAGGAAACTGATTGCCTCAATTCATTTAAGTTTATAAAAAAACAATATTTATGAGTAGTCTGAAATTATTTCAGTTGAGTTCACTAAAATTAGATATTGCAGTCAAGAAAGTAAGTGATCGATTAAGTGATTAATGAAGTGATTGTTGAGTATTAGTGATGAACACCTGCTGTTAACAAGCAGAATCACTGAGGAAAGAGAAACACAAGAACTGCAACTGACTTCCAACCACAACATTAGATGAAATCAACTGAAGATAAAATATGTTTAAATCTATCAAGATCTCAGCAGAGGAGGATTTAACAACTCCACAAACAGCATTACCAGCTTCACTTTTTACTAGCCAGTTTGACTTTTATCATGCGTCTACAGAAGTTGTTGTTGTGAATGAACAGAGGTTTAGATGAAGATGATTTATTGTTTCATTCAAAGACTCCATGATAGTGGTCAGTGTTTGCTTTAGTTGGGCTCTTGACCCCTGACTTTATAAAACTAGTTTTTCTTCTGGCTGCTGTAACTGAGTGTTTATATAACACATTTGTTATGGCACATAAGCCAAAAGAAAAGGAGCATATGGTTATTTTTTGATAATGATTTATGAAATGATAATTTATCATTTGGTGTATTGATTCTCTTATATTTCCTAGAGTAAAATCTCTGATTAAACAGGACTTTTTCATTATAAAAGAACTGTGATTCTGCTGTAAGGCCCCGTGTTGTTAGAATCAGATTTTAAAAACCTCAATGGCATCATGCCGACTTACACAGACAACAAGAATCAGCATATGAATCTCAACAATGGTGATCATTAAAAAAGCCCTGGATAAAGGTTGTATTATGGTAATAGCCAGCATGCATTTTAGTATGAATAATTTTTTAATGGTCACCATTGTTGAGATTCATATGCTGATTCTTGAAATTTGTGTTAGTTTTGGTAATGAATTACATTTTCTGTAAAATCCTTCATTCTATCTGATTGTCATAGTTGTAGAATCTAGTTTCAAAAACATCTAATAAAAAAATCAGAGATTAGACTCTGAATGAGATCAGTGAATCAAGTCATTAAGTGATGATTGTCATCATCAAACCTTGACCAGCATTACCCGATCATACTTTTCCTTGATTTTTGCGCCATTACAAATATTTCATAAACACTCATTTACAGCAGCCAAAGAAAAACTTGTACTCAAACGTCAAGGGTCAAGAGCCCAACTAAAGCAAACGCTGATCTCCATCATGGTGACCTTAAGCCTTGTATTTCTTGTGTTTCTCTTTCCATCAGTGATTCTGCTTGTTTACAGCAGGTGTTCATCTCTAATGAGCAATCATCACTTAATTTGATGATTTATTAACTTAACTATACAATAATAACTCAATTATCATTTTGGGATCTAGAAATGTTCTATAACTCATTTAGTTTGAGTTCTGTTTCAGTCATTCAAGCCACTTCAAGTTTCAGTTTTATTTGAGTGCAGTAAACTCAATTTAATTGAGTGAATATTACCGTTTGGTTTTACAGTATAAGCTTATGAATAGGGTTCATTTGGGTCTTTTTCTAAACGTTCCCATAATGGAATTCTTGTGGGCTTTTTTCCCCTTACTCAGGACACATTGTGGATACAAAATCAGTTGAGTTTGCTTCTGTTGCAATTTGTTCTAGGTTGACCCCCATTTTGGCTTAAAATGACTGGACTATTAAAAGGGAGCGCAGCTCGTCCACTGTATCAGGGGAGAGACCCTACCCCGATCCAAATTTTTCATCAGGTTGACTTGGTATGCCTGTAACACTGACATAGTGTGTAAGGAAGCCCCAGTCTGACCTCCTACCCTGTATGTCCTGCTGTTCGAGCAATCTTGAGTGGCTTAGATAGCAGGGCCGGAGCTGTTAGTGCCGATGTGTCTCCAGCAGAGAGATAGTTTGTGAACGTCTAGTCGATTGGGGGCATCGACACATACCCATGTTAACGCATCCCCTCGACATCAGTGTGGTTTGCTCGCTGCTGACGATGGATGTTTGCAGAATATAGGTCCTTCCATGACTTCTTGATCTCAGTATGCAGATCAGGAAAGACTGGAAGCTCATGGGAGCTGGGAATTATGGCCAGAAAGGAACCGCTAATCCAGCCTGCCGCGAACATCTCCTTCCTTGACGCGCTCCCACAGCAGCTGAAGCATCACTGAAGCGTGCTACATAACACCCAACAGCTCATCATTCTCGGGTCAGGGAGGCTGTGAGGGTTCAGGTTGTACCTCTTCTTCATCAGCCATCTCCTGCTCTCTCGGGCTGGGTGTCAGCAGAGCTCTTGCTGCAGAATTAGAGGATGTAAGAGATAACACATCCTCGTCCAGCAACTCACCCTCGCGAGCTTCTGACAGGCGTGAGAGAGAAACACCTCCCTCAAACTCGTCATCGAGCTCCATCTGGGAACCCCATGATCCGAGTCTCTGCAGTGCCTCAGCACGAGCCGGACCCGAACCATCGGACCCAGATGCCTGTTCCTCTTCCCCCGAGTGTCACGGTTCATGAATTCACTGTCTCTCTCTCGTCTCGCGTGCTGTTGTTTGTGTGTGTGTTTGTGTCTGTGGGCGTGGTCACTGATCACTACTGATCTGCAGCGACAGCTGGTTTCAATCCGTTTGTCCCTTTATAAGCTCAGTAACTGGTGTCTCATGTTGTCAGATCGTTGTGGTTTTCCCCGGTGTGTTCCTGTGTTCGTGTTGGATCGTGTTCGTGTTGGATCGTGTTCGTGTTGGATCGTGGATTCCTTGTGTATTTCGTCTCGTCTGGATTCTTCACCTGCACTGGATTCCAAGCACTTCACTGGGTCACCACGGATATCTCCTTCACCAGTCGTTCACCGAGGTCCCTGTGTCACCCTTCCATCCAGCACTGATCACTCGACGGCACCTGTGGAGTTCTACCTGTGTTGTGTCTGACCATCGTGTCTGTGTACACCTCAATAAAGAGTCTTTGCATTTACATCCGTCTCTGTGATCCGTTACAGAACGATCTGACCATCTTATGGATGTAGCAGAGACCACGACTTGGGACGAATTCGTCGCCCGAAGCAGTTCAAGGATGGATACCCAAGAGGAGAGTATCGCCAATTCAGGTCGAGCGATTCAGGCGCTCGTGACACAGGTGTCCGAGCTCACCCAACAATTTCAACAACTCCGATTTCCCACTGCGCCACCCACACCGCCTGTTCGACCCATTCCACCGGAGCCACCCCAGCAACGTGAACCTCATCTTCCGACGCCTGAGGGCTATGCAGGTGAACCTGAGTATTGTAGAGCCTTTTTGACTCAGTGTTCTATGCATTTCTCGTTACAGCCACTTACGTTCAGCCAGGAACAGACCAAGGTGGCCTTCGTTCTCACCCTGTTGTCTGGGAGAGCGGCTCTTTGGGGAACAGCGGTGTGGGAGAACAAAGACCCATGCTGCGCCTCGTTCCTGGCACTCTCAGAGGAGATGAAACGAGTGTTCGATCGGGCGGTAGCGGGTAGGGAGGCAGCCAGACTACTCGCTGATCTCCGCCAAGGTAACGGCTCGGTGTCAGAGTATTCCATTCAGTTCCGCACCCTGGCTGCAGAGTGCCGTTGGAACGGGGAGGCGCAGTGGGACCGTTTCCTGCATGGGTTGGCTGATCGTGTCCAGAGAGAGATATATGCTGGACCTTCCCACTAGCCTTAATGGACTGATCGAACTGGCATTAAAAGTGGACGCACGACTGGATCGCATGGGCCGCTTTCAGCAGAGGAACCCGCTTCGCGGCATGGAGACCCTGCGCGTCGACAGTCTGGACACGGTCAGCCCAGTTTCCGATCCTGAACCCATGCAGGTGGGCAGAGCTCGGCTTTCCCGGGAGGAGAGGGAACGGCGGAGATCCCAGGGACTTTGCTTATACTGTGGGAAGGCGGGCCACTTCATCTTCGCCTGCCCGGTAAAAGATCAAGCCCGGTAGTAACAATGAGGCTACTATCGGGTGGGATCTCCGCTGGGAAGACCTCATCATCACCATCATCATCCACTCTCCTTCCGGTAAGACTACGGTGGGCGACTCACACGCACGACACTAAGGCTTTGGTGGATTCGGGAGCGGAAGGTAATTTTTTGGACTCTGGACTGGCT